ATAATCGTTTTGTTCAACTAACGGTTGTTTGGAGCACCTAAAACTAATCGAGATAGATATCGAATTATCTATATATTAATAATGAGGATGACAATACGACTTGAAATCCGGGTGAATGACAATCTGTTCATCCGTCCGTGCAAGCTGCAGCTTATGTAAAAATCTTGATGAAACGTGGAACACGTATTAGTTGGCATCATAAGAAGTTTTAGATGGACGAAATCAGACCTCAGCCACGTCCAAAAAAGCCGTTAATCGAAAACATATGTATATGTATACCATATATCACATATGTAAATATCTTGTTAGAGTTAATTAAGTTGATTCATATATACCAATAATATATGTGATTTCGTCGAAAATTTATTGTTGAATTTTTACAAAACATTTTGTAATAAAAAGTTTTGCAACACCTGAAAGTATTTACCGTCTTTGATCTGTGCAAATTGCGAGTGTATTTAGTGTTCTGTTAAACCCGAACTTAACCCTTCCTTACTTGTTTAATAGAAAGTGTTTTCAATAACTGGCAATATGTCAACGTTCTTGAGCTACTACTTACCTTTTACCTAATTACTTACCTTTTTCATATATATTTCTCCTTTAAGATACGTTTTGTGAAACCATTTCTTGTTATGATATTGTGGCAAATTTTCCAGAGCATTCTTTAACGTGTCATTTAAATTACCTGTGTCTTATTATATTGTAGAACCGATTTAGTAATTGATTCAAAATTACTAATTATACTATATTCTCCCTTCAAATATCTTTAAATTTCTAACAATGTTGAATGAACTCTTCCTATTTGTCGATTTCTTGTACTATGACGGGGTGTGCAATAATAAATTTGTATATTTAACCGTTTCATTTATGAAGATTTATTAAGACTTGAACTGTATTATACTTAAGTCTGGTTCATTATAACTAAACTTTTTACATTTGGGAATGATTGTAAGAGTTGTAAATATTTTTCTTCTATGTTTGATTTATCCTCAATTTATTTTACTATAAGACATTTTTTAAATTTTAGTTTCTGCCCGAAAAAATGACGTCAATGTGAACCTGTTCTCCTTCTTTTTCTGGTATATTTCTTTATTGGAATTTGTTTTGGTTGCATTTCATATTTATTGATGTTGTATATATTACAGTTTTTCACATATTGTTTGAAATGTTTAACCATTAATGGCCAAATATATTGTTGTCAAATTAGTTATTCCTGTATGATCTATCACGTGGTTGCACAAATATCGCTCCATGATCTTCTTTATTGATTATATAATTAGGAAATAGTTTAAGTATATCAAAATTTTACTCTAGGAAATGTCTCGTTCAAGAGGTTTTTTATTGCATACAACACTACAGGTGTGAAAAATATTTTGGACTTAAATATTCTGTTAGAATATCAACTATATTTTCTGTGAAAAATAAAAAAGGAAATCGTCTCTAAGACAGTTATTTTTACTCCATTATCAATTATTAGCGGTTGCTTTGTTGCTCTTTTACTGCATAAAGATAATGGCGTAATGTTTTTAATGCCCAGGCTATGGCAATAACTCTTTCTTATTCGTTGCAAAATTTTGTTCGGTAAAATTTAGGGCAATTGCAATAAGTGTTATTGGGCTAACTGCACTTACAACTACTTAGACACATCAATATTTAAAATTAATTAGCTTTTTTTGTTTTCAAAAACTGGCTGAACTGATTCAATTCGTCTTTTCAATGCCTGTTTTAAAGTTTCACAACCAGCTATTCCTTCTTGATCAAGATTAATAACTATTTTTTTAAACATAACTGCGATATTTTTGTTAGTGGTTAAGCTATTGTTGCATAGCTCCAATAGTATTCCGATAAACCTAAAAATCTTCTAAGTTGTCGTAACGCCTTAGGAAGTGGGTAATTTTTTTATCGTTTCTACTATATTTGATCAGTTTTCATGACTTTTTGTGATACAAACATATCCTAAAAATTCAACCTCGGCTGCTATAATTATTGATTCGGCTGGACCGATTTTGATGAAATTTTTGTGTGAGTTCAAAGGGTGTCGGATGGTTTAGATTCACAATTCGATCAACTAGATAATGTTTTAACAATGAATTTATTTATTTTTTAAATTTGTATATTATAAGGGGGATTTATAAATTATGTAAGGCGTTTAGGGAAGAGGGGGTGTTTGGTGCATCTTATAACTTATTACCATGGGCAGGGAGGGTAGTGAACTTTGTATCACTTAAGATTTTAAATTTAAAAAGTCATCACTTTCGCAGAAAGAGTTGGCGGTATAGAATAGCGCCATCTGTACTTCATCTCTTTGACTTGATATTAAAGCAGATAAAAATCTATTATTCTATTGTTATTTTCGTTGTCATATTATACGTGGAGTGTGGTAATAGATGGATCTTTTTAGTTAACACAGCTTCTTTATTTCACTTCACTCATACAGTATATGCATACTTACACACACAGTATTTATTTACATGCTACTGATCGGTCGAATTTGGATAAGTGTACATGTTCTGACGTTAGATATTAAAATAACTCTTGAATAATAATTTTCATCAAAACAGTTCAGATTGTTACAGCTTATTAAAGAATGTTTGAAATTTTCGAATTAAGGACGTATGTACAGGACAACGTCTGTCTGTCTGTCATTTGTCCGATTTTAGTCAAATATGCGACGTTTTGTTCGTAAACTTGTTGCCAACGAGATGCCAACTTCATTATACCCCTCTCGTAGAAGGCTGCGTCTCTATTGGCGAAAAACTCTGAGAGCCAGTTCTCACAGGCTTCTCTTGAGGCCAACTTCTCACCATTAAGCGCGTTCGCCATGGAAAGAAAAAGATGGTAATCACTTGGTGCCAGGTCCTAACTATAAGGTGGCTACATTAGGACCTCCCATCCGAGCTCCCAGAGCTTCTGGCGCGTCACCAAAGAAGTGTGTGGAATGGCGTTGTCCTGATGGAACACAATTCGGTCTTGGCCACCGTCTGGGCCACTTCCCCGAGCTTTGACCACGACCGTTTGCGCTCGATGTTGTCCTAAGTGACCCATTTTTCATCGCCAGTCACAATCCGCTTCAGAAACGGGTTGATTTTGTTGCGATTTAGCAGCGATTCGCAGATGGAAATTCGGTTCATCATGTTTTTTTGCGTTAGTTCGTGTGGCACCCAAACATCGAGCTCCTTTTTGAATACAAGGTTATGCAAATTGTTCCAAATGGTTTTCCGGCTTATCTCTAGTTCCTTAGCAATTAAGTAAGTGCTCACGTGACGGTCTGTTTCCATTATTTCCATGATTTTATCGTAATTTTCGACGACAGACCTCCCGACACGTGGTGCATCTTTGACATCGAAATTACCGGAACGGAACCTAGCAAACCACTTTTGTGCTACACGTTCGTTTACAGGCCCATAAACTAAATTAATTTTTTCAGCCGCTTTGGCTGCTTTTTCGCCTTGATCGAACAAAAATTTTTAAAATATAGCGAATTTTCTCTTTGCTGGTATCCATCTTTGACGAGCGCTCACAACGTACTGAGGCAAATTAGTGCGAATAAACACGTTTCCAGCGCCGTACAGTATGACATGATGCGACACGTAACACTAGTACTATGGACAATAACGCCATCTCTTAGATAAAAACCGAACGAACTTTTTACTATATATTGGTTTTATTGATATTAATTTTGACATTTCTCAGCTATAGTCGAGCATAGAGAACATATTTTGAATCAATTTTATATATAAAAAAAAATATTAATACTCACTGACCGACATATTCGGCATAAAACTTGTTAGAATAACGAAAAGCATTATAAGTAGTATATGGATGTTGAGGATAGTATTAATCCGATTTTATCAATTTTTGCCTACACCACATACTACTAACATGCCACAGACTAATAAAATGCTCCCACTGTTTCATAAAGGTACCTCACATACCATCACCAATCAAATGGAGTAAAGTCAGACGAATGTTCGAAAATCCTGATATTAGTTACATGGGGGCTGGGTAAAATTTTCACTCGATTTGCTCCGTTTTAGGCACAAAGATACCTTGTTATGAGTAAAACACGCTATCTCATTTTCATTGAGATAAATGACATATTGGCCGATATATGCGGTATATAGTCACGCGGAAGTTCAAAACTCTTTGTATTAGGTATATTAGGGCTATAAGAACTATTGATCCGATTCAACCCATTTTTGACACAAATCATACTATTATCGAGAGTTTCTTTTCTTTATTTAATTATATGAATATCAGTTATATATTATACACATTGACCGATATTTTCGGTAAAAAGTCAACTGGGGTCAACATACTTGTATTCAGTACCTAGGGGCTTGAACAGTTTTGGTTCGATTTAGACAACTATTGGCCATACAAGCTAAATAGTTTGTGTACTACTGATTGTTTTAACGTATTTTCACGATGAGTGATAGTAATCATGATAAAAAAAAGAAATTATCTGGATACCAGAATCTAATAAGGAAAAGAAAACAAGAAGAAGAACGTAATAAAAATGCAACTAAAGTAAGTAAATATTTTACGACTCAACCATCCACTTCGACACAATCATTAGAGACAGAAACCAGTCATGTTATCGATGAAAGGGTTATTAAATCTGATTCAAAAAATGCTTCAGGTAGTGGCATGTACTCTTTATGTAATTATCTATATAAATAAATATAACTCCTGTTTGGGTTATTAATAAAAAAGATTTTTTTTCAATTTTGAATAGAAAAAATTTTTTTTTCCGGCCGTTTTAAATATAAGACGAAAGGAACAGACAGACAAAAATTGTAAAAAATGTAATTTTATTTTATGTACTTTTTACTAAATGCTTACATCCATAAGCATTTAATAAAAAGCGGTTATTTTAATATTAAAAACAGACACTCTAATTTTTAAAAATATAAAGAATTATTCATAGATAGATAAGGAGATAGATAGGTACTCATGTGAACAACATTATGTATTTGTATGTCCGTTTTTAATTTAAGATGATGCCGTCGAAGTTACGTCTGTGCCTGTGCCTGATACACCATCGTCACCGTCAAGACAATTATCGTCACCAATACCAACTTTTTCCAAAGATGACCCTGGAGCCTAGCCAGAAGTTTTAAGCGCTACTTTGATCCAGTATTTAATAGAAAATCCGATTAAACAAATTAAACAGTATAATTTTCCACGTGACTCTTCTTGGCATAAATTTTCTGAGTATTATTACAAGTATGAAAGACATTTAGGAAACGGTGAAAAGTATCACAAAGAGTGGCTGCTGCATTCAGTGTCCAAAAATGGCGTTTACTGCTTCTGTTGCAAGCTATTTGAATGAAAACATAAAAATAAATTGAGGGAATTTGTGATTGGCTTGTATTGCAGCAGACATGAGAAAAGTTCTGCTCATTTCAATAATTATTAAAAATGGACATATTGTGTTAAGCTCTTAAAAATAAAAACTCTATTGATAGTATTCAACAAAAACTTGTAGAGGTTAAAAGCAGCGCTGGTACAATGTAATCAAAAGAATAATATATGTGGTCCAATTTCTAAGTACACAAAATATGGCTTTTCGTGGCCAAAGAAAAAAATTTTATGATCATAACAATGGTAATTTTTTAAAATGTATTGAAATGTTAAGAAAATTTGATCTTTTAATGACTGAACACATACGACGCGTAACGAATGATGTGGATTTCATATGCCGAATTATCTTGGAGATGAAATTCAAAATGAAAGAATTTACATACTCGGTAACCAAATTCAAAATCTAATTTTAAATTTATGTCGAAATATAAAATAAATATTAGCTTTCTGTCCAATTATCGATACAACTGGCGCTGGATTAACGTCATTTATTATAGAAAAACTAGACAACATTAATTTGGATATAAACAATTTAAGGAGACAGGGTTATGATAATGGATCAAATAATCGCTGTAAGAATAATGGTCTTCAAAAAAGATTGCCTGATTTAAATCCCCGCGCTTTCTATGTACCGAGCGCTAGTCATAGTTTAAATTTAATAGTAAACGACGCTGCCAACCTCATCAAGACAGGATTTTTTTTGTATTGTTCAAGAATTATATAAATAATTTTCGTCCTCTGCTAAAAGATGGGATTTATTAAAAAATATGTCATAAATCTGACCTTAAAACCATTATCTGAAACAAGATGACAAGATGTCAAGCAGAATAGATGCTATAAAACCGCTGTTTACAAATTTACCAGAAATTTATGATGCCCTATATGAAATATCAAATAATATAACGTAAATCATATAAAATATGCACCTTTCATTCATTTGTCACTAAATGTATGTTATATAACATTGACAAAAGTAAATTTTGTGAGTAAAATTCTGCAGTCCGTCGATATAGCAAGCTGCTTTAGATGCTTTAATAGAATTAAAAAAGTTTTTGATAAAAATTAGAACAGACAGAAATTTTCAAGAAATTGTAAGTGATGCCAAAAAAATTGCAGACAAATTAGACGTCAAAACTGAATTTGAAACTTCCAGATCCAGACTCCTAAGACGTCGTAAAACTCCAAAGAGTTTTGATTATGAACGCGAAGACCACACTATAAAGATCCGAAAACCTCTTTTAAAATTAATGTATTTTTTTTATATATTAGACCAAGCGTTATCCTCCGTAGATGAAAGATTTGATTTATTGAATAATCACAACGACGTTATTAATTTTTATACTCTCGCAACATGTTGCTACAGAGTATAATAGTTTTGTTCACCTAACGGTTGTTTGTATCACCTAAAACTAATTGAGTTAGATATAGGG